ACAACACACATTTTATATAAGATTAAATATACATATATACCAATTTATTTGAAATACAAAATGAATAAAAGAATAATATATTTAATGTAGAGTAAAATGTAGAGATAAGGGTTGGAGATAAATGTTCAACTCTACTCTAGAATAGAGTAAAGTCGGCGCTAGAGTAGAGATAATGGCTGGAGATGGCCTAATGCGCTTAGGCCCATTAATTTAATCTCTCGTCGCCGCGTCGGGTCTCAAATATGAACTATCTCAGCGGCCTCGCCTCTCACTCTTAGCACGCCGCCGCCGCCGCCGCCGCCGCTCAACCTCTTTCACTCTGCCCCTGCGTCGTTCTCTGTCTCTCCAATCACCGCTCCGCTGCCCTTAAGTCAGGTCAGCTCTCGCCTGTCCGACTGTGTCACTCTCTCTCTCTCTCCCCCCCTCCGGCTTAACCTTTCAAGTTGTGTGATTTTCCGGCAGCTAGCCCCAATTTTGGTCACTTGCAGACTTGTAGAGTTGTAGTCAGCCCCAATTTCATTCTTTTGTTGCAAACTTAAGCTTGGATGGATGTTAATGTTTATTTTGGATGTTTTATTTGGAGTTGAGTATGGAGACTGAAGTATTTAATTGTTTTGCTAATTTGGAATTGTTTATTGAGACTAAAGTGTTAACTGTTAAGATGTTATCTAATCTCTGTACTTTGCTCTTACAATTTTTTATTTTTTATTTTTTTCTGGTTATTTGCTGTTAACCGAACCAAAACAGCACTAAAACCAAAAATTTTGGTGCGGTTTCGGTTTGATTTTTTTTTTTTTTTTCCCATAACGGTGTAGTTTGGTTTGGCTTTTGAAAATTTTTGGTTTTTGTTTTTCAACGAACCGCACGGTTCTTCACCCCTATTCATTTATATATTGTCTAGATTTTTTACTAATTTTTGATATAAATTCACATAGACCGCTCCATTGTTGTGTTTTTCACTTTACTAATTTGTTGCCTTATGTTCGTAGAAGGTGTTTGAAGGACTCTATATCTTGGGCACTTTGTTTGTTTTCGTCGATTTTTGTTTGACTTTGTATTCGTAGTAGTTGAAAAGGTTATGCTGTGTTTTTAATTTTAGTGGTGTGGCAATTTTGGATTGTAAGACTATTGGTGTGTTTGTTAGCTTATTAGAATATGAGACTATTTTGAATTTTGCTCCAATATAGTATGACTTAATGAGGTAAATATAGCGCAAATAAAATTATAGGACATGTCGGGTGGGGTAGACCTGCCCCAGAACGGACCAGGTCACAGGTCCGTTCTGTTGGACCCCTTGCGGTTCACTGGGCGGGGCGGCGGGCCAGTTCCAGGTCTGGAACTACAGGTGATTTCCTACTTCCCAATTGTTCAACCCAATTGCCCAACTGAGTAAAATCATGTATTCCTTGCAAAATATTGATTTTGCTGTAATGGTGTATTATGTCTAACTTGAAAAGCTAGAGGATTAGAGATGTCCGAATTAATTGTTGTTCAGCAAAAAAACAAAAACCAAATGTAAAACGTGGGATGTAAATTTTATTTAATTGTGTAATTCGTATGAATTGAGTGGTATCGGGTTGCATGTTTTACTTCACCTTCACAGGATAATTATGTTCGAAAGGATTATATATCACATGCCTCCAAGATTTTGATGAACATCCATAAACTTTTCAGGAACATATTTTATATGTTTTTATGCGATGGAAAGTTTTGTCTATCTCGAGTTTGGGCCAATTTTTTGCACGTCACCTCATGCTAATATATTGCACAAGTCCTGACAGTGTTAAAATTTCTTCGTAAACCCTAGAGCCCCGTCCACACAATCTCTCTCTCGGGAAAGAGAAACAGCTATGGCGGAGAAGAACCGACTGATTGCCTTAGGTTTCGAGGGCTCTGCTAACAAGATCGCCGTGGGGGTGGTGGCTCTGGACGGCACCATTCTTTCCAATCCACGCCATACTTACATAACTCCGCCGGGGCAAGGCTTTCTCCCTAGGGAAACTGCCCAGCACCACCTCCACCACGTGCTACCGCTCGTAAAATTGGCTTTGCAGGAGGCCAAGATCACTCCAGAACAAGTTGATTGCCTCTGCTACACGAAAGGTCCTGGCATGGGCGCCCCACTTCAGGTAGTTACTTTTTCGTGCTCCTCGTAATTGATACCACATATGTTTTGATTGTAGTTAACTTTTTTGTTCTAGAAAGAAACTAATAATATTTGGTAATAGAGTTTCACTTACAATGCTGTTAGTTTTATATGCCGTTCAAGGTAATTCATTCATAATTGTTCGAAGTTCACCGATTCTTTTTAAGCACTGTTTTTCGCTTGGATGTTCCCCCATTCAAGAAAGTGGGATTAGACCCGCGCGTAAATGGGTTTGGAAAAACTTTGCAAATACAAAGACAAAAAGTTACATATTTGCCAATTTTCTCTTATAGCTTTTATGACTTGAATGATTAATGCATAGTGCTTCAGTGGACTTTGCGAAGGTTTCCTAATTGCAGATGCGCCACCATTTAAACTATGAGTACAAAACAACAGTTTTAAGTCCATGATCCATGATGCAAGGTGGTTATAATTTGCCTTGTTGTACACTTTCTAATCTATTTATGGGTTCAAAGGACAATTTCAAAGGACAATTCCTCATAATATGTAAATTTAACATTTCTTGTTCATTAGATGGAGCCTAACGTGTCTGTAACTAAAGAAGGTTATAATTGTATCTACATCTGAAGCTTGTATCTATAATATATTTATTTTCCTTCAGTAGTTTTTCATGTGTATGTATTGTTCTTGAAAGAATTACTACTGCTTTCTGGGAATGAGAATTGTTGTGTTTCTTTCTTTTAATGACGTATGAATGGAGCTTAATTCTGAGCTGTTCCCATGTAGGTATCGGCTATAGTTGTTCGCATCCTATCACAACTTTGGAAGAAACCAATTGTTGCCGTTAATCATTGTGTGGCACATATTGAGATGGGGAGAATCGTGACCGGGGCTGATGATCCCGTTGTGTTGTATGTGAGTGGGGGAAATACTCAGGTTATTGCATATAGTGAGGGGCGATACCGTATTTTTGGGGAGACAATAGATATTGCAGTTGGAAATTGCTTGGATAGATTTGCTAGGGTTCTCACGCTTTCAAATGATCCCAGCCCTGGATATAACATTGAGCAGGTAACAGTCGAAAATTCGATTCATTAGCTAGTAATATGGATTCATTATGTTCGTCTGCCCATTATCTTATTTGTGATTTTCAATTTAGACTCAATGTTACCTGAAATTTGTATTCAGCTTGCCAAGAAAGGGGAGAAATTTATCGATCTCCCATATGTCGTAAAGGGAATGGATGTTTCGTTTAGTGGGATTTTGAGCTACATCGAAGCCACTGCCAATGAGAAGCTTAAAAATAACGAATGCACCCCTGCAGACTTGTGTTATTCACTTCAAGTAAGTTTTTTCATCAAGTAACTAACATCACATGAATAACAGGCGTTTCAAAAGATTTTCCCCTTAAAACATCGGACTTCCCCCCCC